GATCCATGTAATATAGGCAGACAGAACAGCTTCAGAGTACATAGGGACATGCTTGAAGGTTTGCTTGTCTTTCATCTAGAAATGTGGCATCTACTAAATAAAGCCGTGGGCAAAGCAGCACCTTTTATTTACGGACCCAATTATTATAAGCAATGTGCTTGGCTGTCACCTCCTCCGCCCCCGCAAGTACAAATCTACATTTTAAGATGAGAGAACTGAACTAATTAATTCAGAAGGAGAAATGTGTTTCTGTTGTTGCCTTTGGAGTGGGGAACAGAATTAGGATTTTTTTTTCTCTCTATATAATGTAAATCACGTTTAGCAGCACATTTTTATCTACCTTCGGCTCAACTCTATGCTACCGTCTTTGCTGCTGCAATATTTAAAAAGCATTTTTATGTTCTACTAAATTCACAAACATAACTATTGCGTCCTTTGTAGCTTTCTATGGAGATCAACTGAGCTGGCCCTGGAAACTGTTTATGATAATGTGCTAGGAAATGTTGCACATGCAACTAATTCTTTAATAATTCCCCTCACAGATCTGGACTTGCATAATCACTTCCCTTTAGTGGAAATGCTTTGTCACAATTAGCTGCTGTGGATGTCTGACCAGAAGCAGCAAATAAGCGACAACTGAATGAACTGAAAATTGTGGGTTTGGACAAGAGGACAATGAAAGATCAAAGCCTCAACAACAAAGAGAAATTATGGGTTTGTCACATGATTTCTGTGGAATTCACTGAACGGTATTCAACAGAATGAAATAAGCATGGTATCTTACAATAATCTTTAGGTCAGACTATACACTTATAATAAATGTATAATCTCACTAAAAGAATACCATTTCAGTATGAATGGGAAATCTGGTATCCATGCTCATGTCTGGCAGCAACAGTAAGTTCCCTTTAGACACAAAACAGATTGCAAATCTAGTCTCTCAGGTTATAAGCAAACTTACCAAAGTAGTAATGATGTTGAAGAAACAAAATCTATGCTTCAAACTTTAGAGCTATCCACCTGACTCACAGAAGCAAATTATGTAAGGAAGACCCAATTTTCTCTGAATTGCACACTCTTCCTTTGTGCTTCCAGTGTGGTGCTTCTCAAAGGAATTCTAATTTTTTTTTGTTGCAAAATTGTAATATAGGGGAATGAGAAAATATCTTCCTTTAAAAATAAGCTTCAGCTCCTATGAAAGATGTACCAAAACTGATATATGAGAGAGGACTTCAGAGTTGCTTCAGAATTTGGTGTGGGACAAAGACAGGGCTTGGCCTTTTGTTATACAGAGTGAGTTGGGCCATCCCACCTTGCATTTTTGTGGTTATCATCAGCGAACAAAACGTAGCAATAAGCTCACTATTTTTGCCATCATGAAGGAAGCATCACATAACTTTCCTGCCTCAAATATCAACCCTCTGGAGTTGGGAAAACATGATAAAATTACAAAACCATGAAGGATTTTATTACAGTGGACAACTATGTCACATACAGAAATAGCAAAGATACCACACCACTGGGTGTTAGGCACAAGACCATTTCTTGTATTGGGAACGTGTGATGTTCCAGATATTGATGAACTTCCACTCCTATTGTCCATGATCACTGGCCGGGCTGGCAGGTGCTGACAAGTACTAGAGTCTAATAACATTTGGAGGCCTACAGGTTCCCACCCCTGTACTACACAAACACAGTGGTGCCTCGCTTAGCGAGCGCTCCATTTAGTGATGAAATCGCATAGCGAAGAACTTTTTGCGATTGCAACAGCGATCGCTTTGCGATGTTCCCTATGGGGGAATTTCGCTTTGCGATGATCGGTTCCCCGCTTAGGGAACCGATCTTCGCAAAGCCACCATTTTCGCACAGCTGATGGGCGGTTTCAAAATGGCCGCCGGGAAAAAAACATGGCCGCCCTCTGTTTTCTGGGATGGATTCCTTGCTTAAGAGGCACCAGAAATGGCTGCGCTATGGAGGATCTTCACTGGATGGTGAGTTTTAAACCCATCGTTGTCGTTTAGTTGTTTAGTCGTGTCCGACTCTTCGTGACCCCATGGACCAGAGCACACCAGGCCCTCCTATCTTCTACTGCCTCCTGGAGTTGTGTCAAATTCATGTTGGTTGCTTCGCAGACACTGTCCAGCCATCTCATCTTCGGTCGTCCGCCCGTTTTAATGCATTTCTATGGGCTTTTTAATTTCGCTTTGCAACGTTTTCCTTCAACAGCGATTTCGCTGGAACAAATTAATGTCGCAATGCGAGGCACCACTGTACAACAATACCATAAGAAAAAGGATGTGTGTTGTATGCAACTAGAACATCCTAAATGTGGTATATTTCTTCACATGTATGGGGAAAGAAGGATGTGTGCATTTGCCCCGCATTATACCACACATGCAATATAGCTATAATGGAACTAATACTGACATAGAAAAATATACTACATGATGGGCTCCTAAAAATCTCATTCACAAAAAGACTATTTTAACCTGTGCTCACCAGTCAACGGAAAATAGCCAGCTTGTAGAAAGCTGTTCTTGTTCCCATCATGCACTACCAACACAGCACCTCTCTTCTCTAGCAATGATAATGGATAACGGATAAAGCTGCCTAGAGTGGTCGAGGAGACCAGATAGGCGGGGTATAAATCAAATAAATAAACAAAATAAATCAATAAATACAAGTTAATGAAAGTGGTACTGTTGTATTTGGTCTGGCTAGCACTGGGTTTATCACATAAGAAAGGTAAATAGTAAAGAGGCTATATGGCAAGGGATGGGAATAAGATTCTACTAATACTGAAGGTATGGTGTGAGAAAAGGTTTAAGGCATAAGAAATCTTGTATATCATCTCCACAGAATAGGCTGTTCCTGGTCTAGGCTCTTTCCCATAGAAGTCCTGATCCCAGGTATTTTCTCAACAATTTCCAAGAAATGTATGCCCTGAGGTCAAAGGACTGTTTCATTATCAATGGTCACTGGAAGGCTGTGAGGTCCTAGGCCAATGCCAGCTGAGTGTGATGGAAGCTGCTGTGGCCCAACGCAGAGCACTAGGTCAGGGCAAACTGCCGAAGAAGAAACCAGCCTTCTGGATTATATCCTCCTTCACTCCACTTTTCCATATCCCCCATCATGCCCTCAATATATGCCACCATCTCATACAGTTTCTGCCTGCCAGCACACTGTCACTGGACTTAATATGCTGAAGGCAATGTTTGCAACCATACTGTTTATCAACTTTTCCTCAGTCTCTGGATACACCACCTACAAGATGAAAAAGAAAACTATTTGGTGATGAAGTCATCAGCATTTTGTGGCTGGCAAGCCTGAGGGAAAACAGCATGTGAATGTCCAAAGCTAAAATGCCCATTGCCGAGTTATTGACCCCAACTTCAACAGTAGGTTAGCATTATCTCCTCCAGTCTTTGAACTGCAACTCCCATAATCCCTCACCATTTGTTATACTGGCTAGAACTGATGAGAACATCAGGAATGCCACCACTGGTTTTAAGGCTGATTCAGCTTTAGTAGTCTGCCAGCTCCCAAACATCCTGTTCCTTTGATGGCCAAGTAAAGCAAGCCAAGGATTTAGACCCAATTCACTCCCTTTGGTATTGTTAAAATGGTCTCAGATACAGTGTTCTCTACCAAGAGACTTTACAGCAGAGAAGGATAAACATTGACGGGTTAAAACACTGTAATTTTTAAGTGTGTTGCTCAAGTTCTCTGAACATGCATTAACAAAGAGAACATGTTGACACATAATTGATGACACAAATTTCTATAGAACAAGGTATAAAACCAAGCTGCAAAAATTATTCTTCTAAGCTATGCTGGAGAAAGTCACTTAGTTACATTTTCCATCCAAAGTTAGATATTCCATAACAAAAAGCCAGTTTCTTCATCAGTTGTAGGATACAAGGAAATGGCCATCCCCACTGCATGGACCATATATACTTCGAGTGTCTTAATTTGTCTCTGCGAGGTAGAGAAGCTGCTGGACTATTTCATAAGAAAAACAGTACTCTAAACAGGTTATGTTTCATGGATGGGCAGATTCTGCACCAGAGAGGAGGTTAACGCCGAAGAAGCATCCTCACACCTCCCCTCCTTCACTTGTGTCTCACAAAACGTACCACCTAATGTGATGTCACTACCCTGTGAATGTCCTCGCCTTTTTCAGCAGTAATCAATGAAGAAGCAAGAGGGCAGGCACACACTCATAGAGCCATGATGTCATGTTGCACGGCTACTTTTATTTGAAAATTTAAATGTGTGGAGGAGGGCAAGATGTGAGAACACCTCTTTTTTTGTACAGTAATGTCCAGATCCACTCTTGGCCTTCTTTGTCTATTCTTAGTACCATTCATTAAATTTACGAACAAGGATTGAAGCTTATTCCTTTATTGGCAGGCAACCATAAAAATCTAGTCACATTTTGTATGACCTTCGGTTCCACATGCCATGGTGAAAAGAACTAAGTTTGTGCAGAATTTTGCAGAGAGCATGTGGTTCTTGTTGGGGATGTTCTGTGATGGTCCCTTGCAAGGGTGTTAATTCACAGCATAATAGATTGAAACTACACACTGTTGTTTTTTTGCCCTCCCTATATTCTTGCTATAACGTAATTTTATTTCCTAAATGAATGTCAACAGATTGATTAATTTGTAAGCTTCTTTGCAGCTGTTCAGAGAATGCTACCGACAAGAGAATGAAACATTGCTCTAAAACCGAAGAAGAGGAATCATTATTATTGTTTCGTTTCCAAGATGGGGAAATTTTCTTGCCATGAAAATAGCTTCACAGGAAGAGGACCCCCTGGTTTGACAGAGAACGGAAATGACAAATTTTAACTCATTCATTTAAGAAATTAATAAAAGGACTTCCAGCCAAGGAAGGGAACAATGTTCAGAAAAAGCACACAAACTGTTATAGATTTTGCATGAAAATTTAAGCAACAAAAATTTAAAAAGCACATAACATGAAATGTTGAAAGGTACCTGCTTCGCCCCTAAGAGCTTTTTCGACAGCAACTCCCCTCTCCTCCAGCTGCCTTTGCTTTTCTTCTACTTGCTCTAGCTGCCGTTGGATAATCTGCAGAACAGGCCAATAAAGACAAATATAAATTCCTGCATATAGATGGCAATTACAAGCTGTCCCAGAAATAGGCACAGTTTCACTTATACAGTGGTGCCTCGCTTAGTGATTGCCTCGTTTAACGATGTATT